GCCTGCCAGTGCTTCATATTTCGGGCATAACTTTTTACTCCGAGGTCGGAATTGGGCAAACTCGGTGGCGTTGGAAAGAGGACTCAAAGACCTTTCATAGGATAGGTAATGGCCCACCTAATTCATTTTGAGCTAAGAGATATGACCATTTAAAGTTGACCCTTACAACTCACTAGTTCAAATGACTAGTTTCCGGACGTCACGGTCATTTCTCATCATTTCATCAAGTTCTCAACTCCAAACTCACATGTGAGGCTCTAGTTTCACTAGTTCGTTTTCAGGGTCATTACACATGCGAGGGGGGTAAATGATCAGATTTGATGAAGATTTGAACCATTTTTGTTGTTGTTTGCATGTACTACATTGTATGTAACATTTGCTAAGCACTTTAGATGTTCCTTCAATTTAAAAATTCATGACCTTTTTATTGTATCCACAATCAACTCTTTGGCTTCCAGTTTTCATCCAAGGAGAGTAACTGGTTAACATGGCGGTTTCTTTCCTACAGGACCTGCTGTTAAGGTACACAAACGAGGATAAACAAATCCGGAGGTTTGAGACACATAGTTGTAACGGCTCATTTCCACATCTGAAGACTGTCAAGATCGATAACCTTAGGGGCAACTAAGTGAAAATAAGTTTGTGCTGCCATTGGTAAAATATTTGCTCAAACATGCGATCGTGCTAGAAAAGTTTGTCATTGCTGCATCATTCTTAGGGAGTGATGCGTTTCCAGATCATGCTGAAATGACACAGGAGTTCCTAAGACTTCCAAGATCATCTCCGCACATTTCAGTTGTCTTTTCTCATCAATAACCTTTGACCCCTATCGTTTTAACCAATTGCAACATATCAAACTAATTTTGTAAAGAAAGCTAAGCAGTGGAACCTTGGCACATCGTGTATGATGGGGGATTACAGAAGGAAAGAAATAGTTTTGTGCTTTGAAGGAAAAGCTTTTTTGTAAACTGAGAAGTCTATTGTAATATATCTATATTTATTGAGATTGGCTATTTGAACTGTCAATGTTACTATATGTGAGACTATCAATCTATGCAAAAACAAATCATTTTACCCACTTGATCTCCCAAAAGATAAATAAGTATGTTGCATGTGTATGATAAAGAGTGCTAAAGTGTTTACCTGCATTAGTTAAGTATTATTAGATCCATTGTTGCTAAGGCTTTAGGGACATATACAAAGAGTGTTAATTGCTACTAAAAATTCATATTTAGCGGCAATTGAGCTATTGTCGTTAATTAAATGCCGATTAAAATCATTTTTTATGTAGTGAATTGACTGGACAGTCAGAAGAATTCCAGAATCCAGATATTATAGTCAAGTATTGTTAAGCTCATGCCACACAAGTTCACCTCATCTAAAATATCAACAAGGTAGGAATAGTCCCTACTTTCTTCAGTGTTAAAGTCTATCAATATCTCTTTATTCTCTTGAGACAGCTATTTCAGATCCTTGTGGATATGTTTCTTCTAAGTTGGAATTAAGAAGCTCAAGTTGCATTGCTACACCTAGAAACTTAATAAACAGGTAGCACACAAGTCTGTTTGGGTCGTAGAGACCACCATGCATTTAGGAAAGTATAAACACTATGTGGGCAGTCAAAGTCACCATAATCTCTAGAGGAAATTTCTCAAATAGTCACTATAATGAACTTAATTAGGTTTCTTAGCTACAGTTTGCATATTTACAGGTTGTAACTATAGTTTAAGCTGCTATGAGCGACCTCGTTTGTATAATTTGGGGATAAGACACAAGTACCCCTATACTATGACCGAAATCCCAGAGACACATCTTAACTAAACTAAGGTCTTATTACCCACCCCTGAACTCATTCAAAAAAATTTAGACAGAATGTCTGTTTGATCTCTGTATTAACCAAAAATGGACCGTTTATCATCAAATTATTGAAAATGGTCATTCTGTCATTTGACTACTTAAAATTAGCTCAAGCTATGGTTTCCACTCTTATTTTTCTCTATGTCACTCTTATAATTTGAAAAAATGTATATTTATTTCGGTAAATTTGTTATATTAATGTTGGTGTGCTATACCAAAAATATATTAAATTACACTTGAAAATAAAATGATAAAAATGAATAAAACAAAATTCAGGTTGAGGCGTAGATACTCGCTCTCTTTAAAGAGATTCAAGTTTACTGTGGCATAATCTACACCAATCCAACAGTATATCTCTTGACTTGTTCCCTGCAAGATACAACAACCCAACAACGTTATACAACTCAACCAACTTTGAATTAGTTGAAGAGTTCAAAGCTCCACCAAAAGAACACATTCCTTCAACACATAATTACTCTCTTTTGTATAGTGAATTAGTTGAAGAGTTCAAAGCTCCACCAAAAGAACACATTCCTTCAACACATAATTACTCTCTTTTGTATAGTGAATTAGTTGAAGACTTAGAATATTTTTCTTTCTCTCAACTCTCTTTTTCACTACACCAAACTCAATATAAGCACAATATAAACTTATTATCTTTTCTTACATTATTTCAGTTGTATATATCTTGTTGTACTCAACACAAAGTAAGACCACACTATTTATAGGTGAGAAAATCTTCGGCAAAGGAAGATAATGGAGTTGTAAATTGGATAAATAAATGGCCTAAAAGTTACATGAGTTATAAGGTATAATAATAGAATAAAAAGTGAAATAATGTGTTACAGACTAATAAGGTTTCAATAGGGAAGTAATGCTATAGAGGACCATTACCACGTTCTGTGAAGCAAATACTCCCCCAATGTTCATGTAACATTTGATAGACCAAGGCAGAATATGCTATTAAACCTAATTATGCTATTAAACCTAATTAAAGTATGAGACAATTTAATAATAAAATAATATTAAAATTTTCACACTAACAATCCTCCACTCATTTTAATATTTAGATAAAAGAGTACTTTACAATTTAGTTGAAGGTAGACTATTATGCATAATGAAGGTGTGCTCTGCATTGAACCTTCACTTAGTAAAATATTAATTTTTACTCTGGAGTTTGTAGTGGTCTCAGACTTGAACTATAACTGATTAAGGGAAATAAAGCATCACTACTTACATACAATAATCAAGGTGTTGACATAAACTTTCATAGTTAGCACATTACAACCTTGTGCTATTTAAATTTTCATGAGTGTGTTTTAGAATTAGCCCATTCTCATAGAAAGCGACCTACTTTTACATTCACATAGGTGAAATCTGTCAAGGGCGCTCTTATAATTTGACACCCTATTCATATGAGATACAAAATTTAATTAAGAGTTCAAAGACTCAACCTCCACAAATTATTATAGGTGTCATGACCCAACGCTATCCCCTAGATGTGACACGGTGTACAAGACTCCGAAAAGTCTCATACAAGCCTCATAGCATATCATAACATAAGAACATAGGAAAAAGTGCGGAAATTTAAAACTTTTCTTTACAATCGAAATCTCTTATAAAAACCAAATGTGAGTCTACAACACTATGTCTCAAACCATATATAACACTTGAATACAATCTTAGGGACACAACCCTTACAAAAGTCTAAAACATAAAGAAAGACTTAAAGGACATACTGGTCAGGCCCTCGAATACTATAAAGACTCACCAATCTTCTTTTTCTTGATCTACTATGGTCCTATCCATGAGGGTGGCAGCCGATATCACCAAACCCTATACTTTGTAGAAAAATGTAGAAATATGGGTTAGCACAAAAATGTACTAAGTATGAAAGCCATGCATAAAAATTCTTAAAACATGCAAAAAAGGGACATTTTAGTTGAAATCATGCTATATGCCAATTTTGAACATCATCTTTGAAATAGTTGGAGAATGTAGCTCATAAGACAACTCATGCACAATTCATCATAGCATAAATGATATCATCATAATGACAAGCATAGTCTCCAACATAAACATAAGGCATATCCCAATCTTCACAAGACATAGTTCACACACATAGTTAAATACCAAATTCATTTCATCATTATAGAACCATCACATAAGTAACCCTAGGTTATACTTGTGCAATGTATAGATAGAATCTCATACCCTATCTACACTAAGTATCACTTTTAGGCCACCATGCTCATACTTATCATGCTTTGATCTCATCCATAGTCAATAATCATAGACAAGAAAACATTCATATTCATAGCTTATAACAAGGAAAGTCACTATTAGCAACACTCCATACCATACATGCATACTTTCATACATCTTCATAGCATAAGGAAATCACACCCTAACCCCTTTCAAAGTCTACTTGTGCATGTATAAGTGAAGTCCCATACCCCACTCACACTAAGTAAGGCTCATTAAGAAGTCATAAGTATAGTTCATGTTCATGTTCATAGTTCATATAAAGCATACATTAACTCATAATCATCATGTCATAAGAGAAACATACCACACACACTCTCAAAGCCTACTTGTGCAATGCATGAATCAAGTCCCATACCCCCATTCATACTAAGTAGAACCTCTTGAGGAACCATAGTACATAACTCATGTTCTTGTTCTTATTCTTGTTCATAGAGGGAAAATAGCCTTAATCGACATAGACCATGTGAGCTACATGGAATCCGGTGTCATGTCCCACACCAAAAAAAGATGTCCTACTTGCCTAAGGTAGAATTAAATGTATTAGCTTTTAGGTGGATCCACTAGCTAAAGACCTATGTGGGCATATAGTGATGGAATAGGGAGATTGCTTCTAGAAACCCCAAATTTATTGCATTGACGGGGGAGCTTCCATCTCATAAGATTATCTTTAGAGAACCCGGCCTATTGTATTGACGGGATGGCCACTACCTCATTTTTCATATTCACTCGGTGCTAAGCATTATTTCCAAAAATTACATGTTTAGTCTTGAATAGGATTTACATGCATGAAGGAGTATCTAGACCCTCCATCCAACACAACTCATAAAATAGCTCATAGATCATGCGTGAGAATGTACTTTCACAGTCCATGTCTTTAGATTAGATTCTATTAGGTGAGAGCTGACTTTCAACCTAGAATGTTCATAATGAATTCAATTAGGTGAAAACTAACTTTCAACCTAGAATCTTCAATATGTGAGGAAAACTTTTACATTATAATCATGTGTTTCAACACAAGAAGATTATCATGATCATGTACATTTCATGCATAGTAATGTGTAAAGGTGCATATGAGAAATAGCCTTTCAAGTAACACCATAGATACATATCATAATCATACTCATACATGGAGTATGTGTGTGATTGTCCTTTCAATGACACAACACAACATTATCATCATAGACACTTCACTCTTAAAGTGTTCATAAAGCATGTACATAATATCACAATCATGCATAATTCTCATATCTTGCATACAAGGATCATAGATCACATCAAATCAACATATCTAGCATTCATTATATTAGACATGGATATTACCATAATTCAAGTAGTTCATTCATTGCATGCATAAGCTCATGTACTCATATTGTAGGTCATGTGGGTAAAGTCCTTCCACAATAATACCATATACATTTCAACATGCATAATAGCTTCCTTCTTAAAGCCTCAACATTCATAGCTCATTCATTTTATCTTTTACCATTTAAGCCTTAGAAGCCATCTTCATACTACAAGCATTACTCTCAAGCAATACCTCGCATGGTCATCATGTAAACCTAACTCTCAAGGTAAACTAACCACATATTTCATTCTTAACCAATTATAGTCATATAACATCAAGTAAACTCAATCTCAATACTACTCAACCATGATCCATCATATAAGCCCTAACCTAATTCATTCATGTCTACAAGCTTTACTTATAAAAAATTCATATTTAGGTCATCTAGTCTAAGGCAATTCATAAAGAAGTTCATCAATCTTAGAAGGTCACATCTAAACCCTCAATTTGTCTCTTTCATGGCATAACACTTGACCATACCAATTTCACCCTAGAATCTTAGGTTAATCAAGGATACATGTATAATCATACTAAAATCATGTAATTACATAATAACCAATCATTAT